TAATCTCAACAAGAATTGACCGAAGAAAAATGAAAGTGACAATGGGAGCATCTATTGGTGGAAAAGCAAAAGTAGAAGAAAACTGATGAGAATAGGCCCCAAAAAGAAGAACAACTAAAGATGAAGGAAGGTCAGTCATAGAAAATGGATCGACTTGAGAGATGGAGAAAAGATATGGATTCTTTAGCTTAAAATTTATCTTAGCACACAGTTCATTTATGCTCAGAACCTATTTTTCTCTTGCCCAAGCATTGTCATCATTTCGTTGTTGCCCCTCTTTGGACATTGAGTTGAAGCAGTAAGCCATTTTTTAATAATCACAACCTCTGATGATTGGCAGAATCAAGTCATCGTTATCTTGCCCGAGCTAACCCTTTTAGATTTTACCCTGAAATTGCCATCCTTCCTAAAACTAAAACTTGAAGACATAATAGAAAATACGTACCAAAAAAAATAAAGAGAACGGATAAAAAGAAGAACAACTCTAAGGCCAAAAAGCTTTTGAGGTCAAAAAATTTAAATCAGATTGAGAGCAATGAAAGCAAAAAAGAGAAAAATGAAAGCCCAATAACCTTTTATGTAGCCATGCCTCAGATTAGATGAACAGCCAAGTATGCCATGTGTCAGAGTATAGACAGAAAGACATCTTTTTATCTTTTTGTTTTAGATTTTCTCGCTTAAACTACCTTTTTCTTCATTTAGTGCCATCAGACCGAATGGACTCCTAAGTTAGATCAACCATATCGGATGGCTCTTCAAGATAGATTGGGCAGATTCCCCATTCAGACCAACGTAATGAACCAATGCCTGGTCCATCACCAGAGTTTAAAATAGAGACTCGAATCAAAACTCTTGAAATAAAATACAAAATTCCACGTCGACTAGATGAACTCCCATCCTAATATCAGATCATCTTGAATAATTGACACATTGGCAACCTTTAAGTCGACTATGCACTCAACCTAAGGGATACGTGTGAGATCGACCCCCACCAGGTCAGACCATGATTTAAGGCTAATTGTCTCCTAATGCTGACCTCCATGATGACGTCGATTGTAAGGAATCAAATTTCATGTTGTTTTCTTTTCACTTGTCGGACCTGCATGAAATATGTAAACTACACACCCAAAATGTTGGGGGATTTGGTGGTCAAAAAGATATAGTGGTCTTTTTTCCTATTAGGAGCTTTCAGCAAACAACTATGGGTAATTCCAACATTTGTATCGACCTGACATATTAGGTTGGCCTGACACATTCAATGTCACATCAACTTGGCCATGTCATTATTGTCCCATGGTGTTCCCCTATCTCTTATCTATAAATACAAACATCCAGGCATCACTAAGGTAAGTTCAATCTACCCATAATTTCTCATACTACTTTTCTTCTGACCTCACTTATTTTAATTTGCGCATCAAAGTGCAAACTCAGGAAACATTTATTGCTTTTGCCTGTAATCATTCTTCTTTTCTATCTCTCCAAAAATGCCTTTAGATTAGAGCTCGGCACAAACACTTATATATTGAATGAACCGGTGAAAGTTGAAATTAAATAAAATCTAAGCTAATGACATAAAAAAAATCTTTGAATTACAATTAAAAAATTATCTAAATTTTAATTTTTATTACAATTAGTTAATCTCTTAAATATTTATTTGTATTTATTTAAACATGTATTTAGATATAAAAAAAAGTTAACATTATTAGTTTTTTTTGTCAACTAAGATAAAATTTTATATGATATCAATAAAACAAATAAAAGTTTATTATATGACGTAGTTAATATATGTAAAAATTAAATAAAAGAAACTTTTTTTTCTCTTTTCTTCTTCTCTATTTTCTCTTCCTTTCCAACTCTAAAATCTTCTTACATATTGAATTGACTGAAGTTTGAGGATTGATTGATTTAATTTTTTTCACATGATTAAATTTCATCCAATTAAGGTTTTAATTAAATGAAAGTAAAAGATTAAAAACTCGATTAATTATACTAAAATATTAAAATTTTAAATGATTATTAAATTATAATTTAAAGACATTTTTTATCCTTTAATCTAACTAATATTATAAATTAAGAGGTGATTGCATCTTGGATGGAAGAATGTGAAAAGTATAATGAATAAGGGAGGGGCCACAACATTTGACAATAAAGCTTTGGTTTAATGGTAAGGAGTAGGTTTTAAAACTTTAGGGAGGGGCCACAACATTTGACAAAATAAAATTAAATGACATATTTATGATTGAAGAGAAAGTTAAGTTTGCCAATGAAGTTTTGGTTTAATAGTAAGAAACATATTTTAGAATTTTAAGTTTTTAAGTTCAAATTTTATTATATGTGGGCTTGATTGTTTGATTATATTTTAATTTATTAATTAATTATTTAATAATTATAACTTAATTATGATATAATAATTGATTATATATATTTAATATTTATTATAATTGTAAAAATTTGAAAAGGAGAAGGTTAAATTTTATTACTATCCTAATATTAATTATCTTTACGTAAAGCAAATACACGAATTAACCTTGAAAGTAAACATATATATTCAATTTTTGTTTACTTGTTCTGTTATGATTTTCTAAAACATAAAGTTTTAATCTTAAATAGTGGTGGGGAAAATGCTAGACGCAAAGACATACATAAAAAATAAAGTCTCTCCTTTAAAGTTGATATAGAATCTCTTTTTATCAATTAATTCCCTTTCATAAATTCAATTTTTTCACAACTTCATTCAGTCGGTTTACAGGAATCCTTCTGAGGTAGAGACTAGAGCCGTATAGAATATATATGAAAAACGTAGAGTAATGGAATTGATGAAGGGTATGCGCTTCTTGCTACCTGTGAGTTATATTGTGTTTATTCATGATAAAAATCTTCAGAAGGAAAAATATGAATAAAAGGTGAGGAATAAATGCTTCAAATTGAATAGGATAAATGAGTTTATTTTATTCGTAATTTTTTTATTACAATTCTACTATGTTATTTAATTAAAATAAAAAAAATTATATATAATATGACTTTTTTATATTATTTTAAATTGTAATATAATAATTATAAACCATATTTAGGGCATAAAATGGTAAATAGGATACAACGCTAATAATTTTATATTATATTTAATTTGTATTTAAAGAAAGTAATAGGATTATAAAAAAGCTTAATTATTATCTTGGTATAGGATAATTCAATCTTCTTAAAGTAGAAATAATTATTTTTAATATATAAGATTAAATTTACATGTTCTATTATATCCTTAAAAATTATATTAATAATTTAAATTATATAAATTTTGAATAAGGATAATTTTGACCAATAAATAAATTATTTTATCATAATCCTTACACATATCAAATACAAAATAAAATGATATTATTTAATTAAATTTTAATTATAATATTATAATATCTTATCTTATCATACACTTGCGTATCAAATACATTCTTAAGTAATATATTATTAAAATCGGTATTTTTCTTAGTATTGTAATTTGTGAGACACTAGAATTACATATTGATGCCAAAACATAAGTTTATTTGAAATTTTTAAAAAAATCTATACATTTTAATTTTCCAAATAGGTTTATATATATTTAAAATATTAATATATGAACAGCTACATGTGCTAATTATTTTATCAAAAAATCGATTGTGACCACTTAAATAGAAAGAAAGAGCATATTTTTTTAAAAAATAATTACATAATTTGAGTCAAAGTTTAAAATTTTGAATTTTTTTCAACCATAATAGCAAATAATACATTAAATATTTTGGGATATTGTAGTTGAAGTGCAAATATTTTTTAACATACTTATGTTCACATATCGAGCAACAATCACTTATTCTCGTAATTATATAGATTAATTAACAATAAAATTATTTTTTTCATTTTTTTATTGGTTAGTGTGTACTTCTGCAGATCCTAAGTATGGTGCACACTCAGTATATAATATAATAACAAAAATAATAATTGTTATACAACTCCTATTAATTGAGCTCAAATAGCTAGCGACCATCTCAGGAGTATGATAGTTATCCAATAATTCAGCCTGATTAAACTCCACCTATCCCAATTAAGCATCATCGACCTCAACTTTAATAATAATTATTCATTAATCTTTAACTAGTTAGTTTTTAAGGTTATTATATTAAATAATACTTTCATTTAATATATTAAAAATTATCAAATTAATTGTTGATTATTATATTTAATATAAATTATTATTATTATAAATAATGTATTCATTTATTTTCAAATATAGTTGTAGATATATAGTAATAGTCTTTTATATATAAAAAAATTTGTTATTTTATAAATTAAGATATATATCCTTACAATTGAACTAAATGCTCGACTACTAACTATATAGTTTTTTTCTTTATATTAATAATAATTGATTTGTTAAATATATACATAAAATAACTAGTGAATCTCTTTCCTATATGCATACACACGTGTGTGCATGAGAATGCACAATCACGAACTTAATATCTGATATATTTGATATATATTATTAGTGTAAATTTTTAATTTTATAAATAGATAGATATATATTTCATTTTTTTGATTAATTTTTTTAAATATATTTTAAAAAGTATGTGTGACACTTTTACTGCCCTTTATAAAATTTAACAACTTTACTAATATATTTGATAAGTTCCCAGGGTAAAAAGGTAATTAGACGAAAAAACAGAAGGAAAAAGCTTAAAGACTTTAGACAGAATTTAAAATGGAATTAGAATCGTAAATGCTGATGTAAGGTAAGAGCTTTGCCCGTTTGCATCAGCATCCTTATACTTATTAACTGCACCCACAAATATTTTTTTCAAATATTTTTTAACACAATATTACAGATTCATAACATAGTTTTCATCATCATCATCATAATCATCTTTTATAATACTGCGAAACATTAGTGGGATCTAATATTGGATGCTAGGACATCAATCGACGACGAAAGACGATTGAGTTGCACTATTTTTTTTTCCTCTCTTTCCAAGTTTTTTTTTTTTTTTTTTTTTTTTGAGATTACTCCTCCAGTCATCGACTTGAAAGTTCAAGCAGCAGCCACAGGCTCGGTTTTAGTAGAAGCCTTGGAGGTGGTTGAAGATCCATTGCGGTCTTCCTTTTTTGAAGCCACAACGTTTAACTTTTCTTTTCTTTCGTCTTGTTTTATCTGCTGTTCCCTGCACTCTAGACTACAAAACGCTGTATCCCCTCTGCAATATTATTACATATATAATTTAACCCAATCAATTTTAAAATATTTTCCCAAAAAAAAAAACCAATGAAATTCACTGAAAATAGTTTTAAAAATTCAAACTTTCTTTAAAAAAAAGAAAAGAAAAGAAAAGCAATTATCTATAGGAAGTTAAGAAAATTAATTGAAAAGAGAGAGAGAGAGAGAAGAGAGAGAGGAGAGAGAGAGAGAGAGAAATACCTATACATATATATGTCACGACCAGGAGCTAAGCGGCGTTTACAAAGGCAACAAGAGCGCAAAAAAGGAGCAGTGTCGACAACATGGTTAGTAGAACCTGATCTTCCAGCCGCTGCAGTAGCTGGGTTTCTTGGGGAAACCATGGCCAACAAACGTTGATCGTAATCAAAGTTGCCGTGATGCAAGGGGTTTTGAGGAGGAGGAGGAGGATCAGATATAATTGGTTCTTGGACATCCTCCATGTTAGAGGCATCGACGGTGATCCCTGTCATGCTTGTCGTCCTTTTGATCGGATGGCGTGAACGTTTTCCTAGCAACATCGTGTTATATTTTTGGCTTTCCTTTTTTTTTTTTTTTTTCAGTGGTTTTTTCAGAGAAAAGAGAAAAGAGAGAGAGAGAGTGGGAAGGAAAGGCAAGGGGTGGGGGTGGAGGGGGGAGACAAGATAAACGAGATGGGGGACGGGAGAGAGAGAATCTGGGCCGTTGCTTGCGGGCACGGAGTCCAAAATGAAGTCCACCTCACTCTTGTATTTTGCTCTCATTAGCTTTTTTTATAAATTAAGTTATAAATATATTATTATAAAAATAATTATTTATGACACATTTACTCAATTTACTCATAAATGTTTGAAAATTTGTTCAGATCTAATTTTTTAATTGTAGCAAATAAGTACTTTAACTATTCGAAATATAATAAATAAAGATTTTTTTATGAAATCCATAATTTGTATTACACGCGCTGTTAAATTAACTAATAATATTTTCAGGTAAGCCAATTATACTACTTATGTGTAAGACTTTAAGCAAAAATATTACTATTATTTAATTTTTTTTTTTCAAATCAAAACCCCTTTCTTTACTCTACCTTTTATAGGTTTGTTATTTTTTTCAAATTAAAATAATTTTTTTCAATTCAAAACCTCGAGAAAACTGGTTGTTCTGACCATTTTATTTCATTTTTTTACCATTTTCTTTGAGGACTTGCAATTAGGCTTTAGGGGCTTCAACTTTCACTGTTGATTTATTTATGGGTTTCTTGATTTTGCAGTGGGTCTTTTAATTTTTTTTTTTCCCTCTAAGCTAATCTTGGTATTTGCTTTTGATCCTAATGCCAACTTTTTCACTGCCATTTGCTTGGCCTTTTTTCTCTTCCCATTCTTTTTACAGTGTTAAGACTTAAAATCTATTCAATTTCGTCAAATAAACTCAGGTTTCGTTTATTTGTAAAAAATAAATTTTAAAAGTAATTTTTAAAAAGTATTTATATTTTTTAAATTGAAATTTTTTTTTGTTTTTTGAATAAATTAATAAAAAATATTTTTTGTTATTTAATTATTTTTTGAAAAATTTATTTTATTTTTCAAATAATATTAACATAATTATTAAAATATTAAAAATTATTTATTATTAAAGCATATTAAAATTACTTACTATTAAAATTATTAATATTCAAAAATAATTACATTTTAATAGTATTTAATATTAAAATATTATATTAATATAAAATACTCAAAAAACTATTTATTATTCTTTATATTATTTATTAATAATTATATTAATAGTATATTATTTATTAATAATATATTATAATATTAATTAATTAATATAATAATATTAATTAATATATTATTTATTAATATAATATTATTTATAAGTAAAATCTACAGCATTAATAAATAATTTTACTCATAAATAATTTTTTTAAAACAATATTTTTTTTCAAATCGTAATATAATTTTAAAAAAAATAATTTTATTTTTTATTAATTAATAAATATTTTTTATTAACCAATCAACTTTTTACCAAACAAATATTTAAAAATATAAAAATTATTTTTCACAAAACAATCAATGTCTTAAATTCTTTTCAAATTATCCACAAATTTCTCTTTTAACTTTTTTAATTTTAATTTTTATTTAATCATTTTTACTTAAAAACTTTACAATTTTTCTTAAAAAATTTTATCTAAATCTTCCCAAAACGTACACAATGAAATTAAAATTTGAGTGGACAATGAACAGGCGACAAGAGATGATCTTTGCCCTTTCTGCAAATGTTTGGCCTTTATTCTATATCTTGTTTTCAAACTGTTGGGGCACACACGTACCATTTGATAAGGAAAGTTCACATCCCACGGACACAGATTAAAACATGTCCAACACCTATTTCTTCAATTCACTTCTTCGGTTACTGGCTAAGCCAGCCATTCCTGAACATTCTAATTACATTATTTTTTTTCTTCCCATTTCATAATAATAAAAAAAATGTAAATTTTTAATTTTAATAATCAAAATTTAATTTATAATAATTTTAAATAAAAATTTTAAAATTTTAATAAATCTGAGATTTAATTATTTTTCTCGATTTTTATTTCGTCTTTGTGCAGCAAGATCAATTTTAGACTTTGTTCTAATAATATTCCCTGCAAACGATCAGTAGGGACCGGCGGGACTCCTGGGATCAGATTGACAGCTTTCAATTTTCCATTAAAATATTCCAATGATAGAGATTTATTTTTTCTCTTAGAAAAATCATATGGGTGGAATCATCATGATCAAGCTCAATTTTTCAATAATGACACCAAATAAAAAAAAAAAAAGGAGAAAAAGAAGCCTAAGATTGAAATTTCTTAACCGAAATTTTCTACTTTCACTGCATAATTATGTTTTTTCCTGGATTAGATTGTACAATAATTTTTTTTTGGTCTTATCTTACTACCACCATCTTACAATATCCAATATCCAAACTTGAATTTAAAACTTTATCAAATTTTTTTCTTCATGATCAAATATTAATTTTAGCAATTAATTACGTATACTTTGTGTCAAATTATTATGGCTCAAATGAAAGAATTCGGTCGTGGTTCATCGCCTTGTCACTTTTCATTCTGTTTACCAACCTACTATTGACTTTATCAACTTAATAATTTCAAAATGATTTAACCTTTTCTTTTTTTTTTTTTGTAATTTCATCGCCATCGGTCATTGCTGATTAATCTGGTTTATTTGAATCTAATTTTCTTTTTCAGCTTCTTTCTCAGGAGTACTTCCATCTTCAAGAGTTGACAGTATCTGAAAATTTAAGATGACAAAGCAAAAATGATAGGAAAGATGTTTGTATCGTCCCATATTTGTTTCATTGTTGTAATAACACAAATGCGTGTCAATTTCCATTTATTGAGATTGAGGGCAGGGTGTGAAATCTATTATGCCTATGACTAAAAACAGTGAAGTGAATGATGGAAGTGCAAAATAATTGGAGATTTTTTTTCTGGAAGGAGATCATAATCTAAGAATACGAGAGAAAGGGTTACATATATTAGAATTCGAACTCCGTAATTGCTAGATGCCACTTTCTAAGAATAAATGTACAAACAAACTAACTGAGATTGGTTCCAAATTAATCGGAGGAAAGTTTTTACACTTGGGAAAGAGAGTGATAGTATGACTTCCCAAGACATTTGGTCGGAAAAAATAAACACTTTTCTAGCTTGGGATGGTTGAATAAAAATAAAGGTAATAACAGAAATCAAAATTTCCAAGGCATTGAATATTTAAAGAATGCAGGAGGTAAAACTATTCTAGCTAGACTTCATCAGAGAAAATGTGTGGCAAACTAATATGGGAAGATTTCCAGTATTTTCATCCCTGCAAAGTATATGCTGGAGTTTCTTTCTAAAACCTTCCATAAGAACCATAAAAGAACTTGTTCGAATTCTGGGGGTTCCAAGATGATGAAGCTGGATATAAGATACAAAGTTCTGCTGTATAACTTTCACTAGAATTAACCAAAAGATTCACAACATATATTACTTGATACTTGTAAATCTTTTCATCAGTACATCTACTGTTCAATCCGACAGGACCATAAAACGTACGTTTTTCATTCTAAGATGTTACTGTTTCCATGCATTTAGTTGCCTAAACCTTAAACCCCTCATGTATTTGATCAAAACAAGAGCTAATTTCATTGCAGATATCAGCAATTTCTAAGAAATTAGCATCTCTCTTACTCAAAAGATGCAAGTTTGTCTACACAAATATGAGCAGTAGTGACCAATTCTTTAGCATTAGGATCTCCATTGATGCAAAGATAGGCACATACCCACACATGCAAACTAGTGTAGGGCTGTAGAGCAAGAGATACCATTAAATAAGAGGTGTAATAATTGATGTTTCCTACCAACTTAAAAGCAGAAGATAGACAAGGGGCCTGGATGGCTGCATAAAGGACACTGTATTCCTACCCCTGAGTACCACTATAGATTGTGTGCAAACTAAAGGTAATAATATGCACTCATCAGCCACATCATTGGGAGCCAAAAAAGAACACCCAGACATCAATAATAACCCTGCACTCAATATGTCAACAAATTTTCATAAAATATTGCTTTTGGTTAAACCAACATTTTAAAAACTGTTCTAGCAAGAATCTGTTCCTAACCCTCATGAATCCACCTGCCTGAGATTTCTACATGCATAATAAAAGTGTATGCAAATTCCTAAAGGTCCCTTTCTTTTTTTTTTTTTTTCTTTTTAAACCCTTCCAAATCACAGGACCAAATGGTCACTGTTATTTATTAAACCTCTTTTTTTTTTTTTTGGAAACTGTTAACTGATTTCAGTCTACATGAAATGATAGAAGAAACTTTTTTTGTTGTCTGCAAAACAACAAAAAAAAACTTACTAATAGAATGTCAAAGAAAAAAGAACAAAAACTTCCCTAGCAAGGAATGCATACAGAACAAACGCCTCAGTTAGAACATGTCTCATAACTTAGGATTGGAGGAAACATTAGGATAAAATACCGAGACTATCAATCCCTACCAGTAGCCATCAGGAACTCACCCTCACATACCAAGTCACCTCCAACGTATGCTTTCCCTTCCATCTTTGCTATTCCAAACCCCTTCTGCAGCTTGATAAGTGTCATCCTCATAACCAAAGTATCTCCCGCAATGACCGGTTTCCTAAACCTCACTTTGTCAATTCCAGCAAAAAAGAAATTTTCCCGAGAGCCTCCCCCTTCAGGTTGCAGCATAACCAGGCCTCCAACTTGTGCCATTGCCTGGACCAAGCAGAATATTTCCCTTAGGACCTACTAATAGTAAAGATGCAATGATAGTATTCAGGAAATTTATCATCTAAATGACCAAACAACTTTTAGCAATTTGTTTTTGTTGGAACCTCTTTCAGCAAGAGATGACAATGTATTGGTAACCAAGGCCTTGTGTGCATCCTTATGGTAACATCAACCGGCCTAACTTTAGGCCAACAAAACACGAGTTGGACATAAAGAGAGGAAAGAAAACCAAGAAAAAATGGAGTTCAAGGGTTACTTAATTAAAGATGATGGCTGCTACTAGAGCATTCATCTATTTTCTAGTCTCCTGGATTGACATCCCAGTATCATTCGGATCATGGAATCAGCCAATAATAATAAAAGACATCAATATTATCTCTATCAGCATGCTTGTTCCATACTCCAATTAGTTTCTCTAATTGCTGTTGCTTTTCCCTTCATAAACACATATTATTCAGAATAAAGAATGGAAAAAGTAGAATTGTACCCTAAGCACCTAAAAAGATGACTTGATGTCAATAAGTAGCATTGATGGCAAAGGAGTCTTGGGGACTTAGACAATGATCAAAATTTTGCCTTACAAATATAGAACAATAAATTTTACATGATAAACAGAAGAATGAAAGAAGATATCGAGCAGTGGTTAAAGATCACACCACAATACTTACACAAAAATAAAGGACGCAAAGTAGCAGATACAATCAAATCAAGCCAATTAAAAGTTATTTTGGAAATAGAGATTTTGAACTGTACAAACCTCCTGAAAAGAGGCGATACTAAAACATATAACTAATCTAGAACAAAGTTGATATAAAAAAGGCAATCAACAAGTGATGAAAAACATTATTCTTGGTTTGTCCACATTATCATTCAAGTCAAAGAAGTAGCTACCAAGCACAGCTAGAATGGAACACTGTACTTAGGGATGGCAACGGGTCAGGGCCGATTTTTGCTTGCTCCAAACCCGACTTGACTTTGTGTCTATAATACTTGAACTTGACCCAACCAGATATTGTATAAAACAGTAACCAATCCAACATGTCTTGAAATTAATAAAATATTATTTTTTAAAATATAAAATATTATTTTTAATGTAAATATAAAATTAAATAAATATAAAAATATAAAAAATATAAAAATTAAATTAAATAAATAATTTAAAAATAATTTTTTATATATATACCAAGTCAAGTCAAGGCAAGTTTGCCTAAAACCCAACCCCTACTTTTTGTTACTATTACCCAACTTAATCCGACCCAAAACCCAATTAAAAAAAAAATGACCCTATGGCGTGGGGTCGAGTCGGATCCGAACCTGTCGGGTACAAATTGGGTTGCCATCTCTAACTCTACTAAGGGGTTACAACTCATGAGTCAACTTGGTCAGACAAACTCGAATTACCATTTATCCAGGCAGAAAAAATCCAATTACTAGGTGCCAAAAATATAAAATTTGCATGCTCGTCCATTTGAATAATCAAGTAGTGTTAGAAAAAGAAACACTAATTAGGATGTCTAGCTAAAAGATTGCATAGAAAAATTGCCAGCTGAATAATCTATCCTAGAATATGAACAAAAAATATGGCAACCCAGGGTATCTTTGGATTTTTATCCAGAGACTGCAATAAAATAAAGGTGTTTTTGGAGACAAAACCACCATAGGATGATCAAAGGCTGTAAATGCAAAATGATGCATAGAAGCTAGAAGAGCGAGAAGTTTACATGAAGAAACATGTTGGTAAAGGAAGATCTCAAACAGCAAAAAATCATCCCACAGCTTTGTAAACATGCGGAAGAAAGATTACAATTAAGGTTAGTTTTCAACAGAAACTTTATGCAGTGAATAAAAAATAAATCAAATTATATTAACAGAATATTTATTCATGCTAAAATACTTCACACAAATTCAGGTCGACTGCCAAATAGCAACTTGGGTAGAAAAGACTTTGCTGCTGATCCTCTAACAAATAATGTTTCATTGAGTTTGTTAAATACAGAAATACAGATGACATATGGATCGTTAACAATGTCTGAAAGCAAGTGTAAAAAAGCAATTAAGGGGGGAGGGGGGAATTCTGCAACCAATTAATAACGGATGAAACTGATAATCTTAAGTATGATGTGCTGCTAACTAGAGATGAAAGAGTTGAATAGACAAACTAGCCAAACTAGCTACGAACATGTGACCACATCTCATACAAGTACTCAGAAAAAAATTTCAATTTTAGGTGGAATAAGACAGTAGAGTAGAGTTTTGAAAAAAGAAATGGAAAAGGGATAAAAGAAGGATTGAAGCCAAAACCTGGAGAGAGCAAATGCAATTCAGCGTCATAATTAAAACCTAGGATAAGGTCTTTTATGCAATAACCAGTGTTGTCAAGACATGTACTCAGGCGCTAATGCACAATGCTAATCAACTGAAGTGCTTCACCTTTTTCACCTGAGGCAACTTTGATCAACCACACGCCCTTGTTGACTACACATACCTTTTTGTTTTAATAAGGAAAGGCACATAAAAGCAGACATGACCTAAAGTGCCCTTTTGGTTCCTTTATTCTTTTGTTAGCCATATATTTAATAGTCAATATAAGACAAAACCAACAATCTTTAGAAGAATAAAAAATGGGTAATAGAACATGCAAAAATTTTTGTTGGAATGGAAGGTAAGGAAACACGGAGTTGGTATGCAACAATGACTTAGTCACTATATGATGCTCAATCTTTGAAAAAATTAGGTAACACTCTAATGTTTGTTACCAAAATCATAACATATTTTTGAATTTATTATATATAACACATACAAATTTTTTTTCTTTTGTATGTATTAATTTTTTTTTTATGGCAAGCACTTTTTTCGGTTCTTGTGCCTTGTGCATTTGGCAAAAGCTTTTAATAAGTATGTTAGAGCAAATCAAGATAACCAGAAACCTATCACCTTCCGGAGAAAGGGACTAACAGCATTCAAAATAAACAACAAAAGAAGCCCTTGAAAGAATAATGCCTATTCTGATGTAAGTTGTAGAAACATAATTGAAAATTTTATCTCAAAATCAAGAAATACTGATTATTTTTATCAGAAAAAGTATAAACTGAAGTACCATTGAATTTATGCTGCATAGGTACTACAGGTAAAACACCTACGCTACGGGCAAAACACCTATGCTACGTCCAACCCTTTCTTCTTTTTGGTTCTTACATCTATGTCCCCTCAAACTGCATATATAGAAACCAGGGCTTTGTGCAGCCATCTTTTACCTCAGCAGTAACATTGCCTACTCTATTTATGTGATTGAGTAATGAGGTATGACAGAGAAAAAAACAAGTTACTAACTACAGAACTACATTGACCAAAAAACAAAATAGCCAGTAGTAGACACCTGTGGCAATCATGCCTGCAGGTATCAATATCAATATATTTTATCATAGTTATATTGATTTTAATAAATTAATTTATGGAAACTGGAAAACCAAGCACCTAATTCCCAGGGCACAAATAGAAGTTTCAAGGTCAAAACATTGGCAGTCAGTGTGCAGAATTTGATGTCTGGTAACTAATGGAAAAGAAACATCATGAAAAAGATATATTAAAAGAAAAGAAGGTAGAAACATTGCACATTCCAAAAAAATTCAATTATAGAAAAGATGCCAGAATGCATCATTAAATTCCTTTTCAATGATATAAAAGCTGCCTAGAGAAAGATCTAAAGGTGTTGGAAACAGAACCTTAGCTGCTCATGAATAATATTATGTGACAAATTGACAGTCTCATTGTTTCTTTACCGTCATAAAATCTAAAATATCCATCAAGATCTCATTCTATTGTGTCACATGGGTATTCTTTTTTTCTCTTTTCTTGTATACATGGCATTATTTCTACCTTTCTCTTTTCGATCTCTGTTTCCAGCTATTTTTTGTCAATTTAAAACTCCAGCAACTTTGTCACTTGTATACAAGCAACCAAGCAGCTGCATCATTAAGCAGAATGGTACAAATGTATCTCAACTAACCTAAGGCTTAAGCCTAAGCTAGTTGGCATTAGCTACATGAACTGCTGAACTAAGATCAGAACAATACAAATATCAAAACTTAATTTTTCATAATAACCAGAAATTTTCTCTAATTCAGACATCCTCATTCAATAACTAAAGTAAAATTTCTGCAAGATATCTAGTTCAACCTCCAGATTAGACAGCTGGAAATATTTCTTATTCCCTTTTCCCCATATTAATACTGGTGCATCTCAACAATTATAACTTGGCTATGCTAAGGAGGGTTTTCTATTTCCCACAATTAAGGTAATCAGAAAGCAGAACCAGCCCTACACCTCCTTTATTAGATTGATAACCAGAAAGTCATCAGATAGAAGCACAGAATTTCATACATACTGATATAATCCTACATTTGACATCCTCGAAAAAGAAACTATGCACACAATGAAACATCCTTAAAATCAAAATTAACAAAATTTAAATGATAAACAAAGTGATTATATTTTCAACTATTCAGTTAAAAGGCAAAAAAAAAAAGTGAAATGGAAGTCAATTACCTCAACCATGAGAACACCAGGCATTATAGGCCTCTCAGGGAAGTGGCCAGGAAAAAAGTTATCATTTATAGTCACATTCTTTATACCAACAGCTGATACCCCTGGATTATATTCTATTACTCTATCCACTAACAAAAATGGAAACCTACAACCAACAAAGAAAAAACCCAATAAACATATAACAGAAAAACAAGCAAAAGAAAAGCTAAAAGAATAATGATTCAAAACTAGAGAATTTAGTTCACCTGTGTGGTAATATCTCTCTTATTTGATTGATGTCCATCACAGTAGGAAAAGCTGGGAACCCTGAAACAATCAACAAAAAATAAACAAACCCATATTTCATCAGAACATAAAGATTTCAAAAAAGTGAAAATTGGGACAAAAAAGGAGGAAAAAAATTTACTTGTTTCAATAGGGGGGGTGTCCTTATCTGTGCTATCGGGAATATTTAAAGAGCAATGAAGGGCTGAGTTCGACCGGTGGGTGAGTTTTAGAGAGAGTGAACGAGATCCGGGCAAAGAAAGAGATGGGGAGGGCAGAGGTTGGGAGAGCCTTCCGGGTTGACTCAGCGAGCCATGGGTGAAAGAGACGAACGAGTTGGAGGAAACTGCCATTGGTTGAGAGATGGACAGAGAGAAGAAAAAGCAAAGAGTTCAGAGTGTTTTGAGTTTAGACAAAGTGAGTGAAACTAAAAGTCTTACCACCATATTGTTTGTATCTAAGGTTAGTCACCTGCTTGCTTATGTCTATACTGTATTTTCTTTTTCTTTTTTTTTAAGTGTTAAATTGTATTTTTAATTTTTAATTTTATTTGTGATAATGTAAAGCAATAAAAGATATATATAAATTGATTATAGAAAAATAGAAAAAAGATTTAAAGTATAAGTTGTGTTCTCAATTTAAATAATTTTAAAAATTGTTTATTTAATATCTTAAAATGTTGCAAGCACTATCATAAATTGGAATATAAAGGATAAAAATATTACGTGAAAGTTTGGCATGAATGAAAGTTTATTAAATATAATTGTGATAAATATATATGAGAAATTATTACATTTATTGACAATAGAATTTTTGTAGGTAATAACTTGAAAATTCGATACTAAAAAAAACTTGAAAAATTTTCCATCCACTAAACGTCGGCACAAATCAAGCAATATCATTATCATCGCCAACAAAACCGTTTTAAAGGTGGAATTGTTCCTATTTTTCCTGGCAATAATCGCCATCGTTTATAACAAGGCAACCAACCATTTCTCCGTCTCTTTGTCGCAACTAATTGAGCTTTGTAATTTAATATTTATTTAATATTTTTTATATTTTGTTAACAAACTATCAAATAGTTTTATAGTAGCTTAAATTTTATATGACTATCTATTTTATTGATCATTTCAAAGAAACATGTTTTTATACAACTTTTTGAATTTGATTTAAATTTATGAATCCATCAATATTTTATTCGAATTAGAATGGAATTTGTCACTATATATCTGCCAAGTGTCATGTTTTGACCAACCCCTCTTCCATTTTAACAGTCAGCTTCTAAAAAAAGAAAATCATTCTTGATGAATATAAAATCTCATCTGAGGGTTAAAGTTTATATTTTTATTTTTTTAAGTAATTACCTTTGATCATTAGATTAAGATCAATAAAAGATCAAATAATTCATATTATTCATTGTAAATATTGAATTTTTATATCCTCCAAATACATGAAAAGATCATTTTACTTCTAATATAAAATTTTTAGTATTTAGGTCATTTTCTTATAAATAAATGTTATTATGCTCATTTTTAAGATTTTAAAATACTAAAAATTATGAAATATTATAAAATTGATATATAAAAAGTTTAATGAAAATTCAAGTTCGGAAAGGTTAAATTATAAAAATACTCTTATAGGCGTATTTTAATAATTTTATATTTTTTAAGGTATTGCTATGATTTCAAATGTATTAAAAATCATGAAATATTATAAAATTATAAAAATTATGAAATTAAAATCTAAAAGGTTAGATGAAAATCCGAACTCAATAAGATTAAATTACAAAAATATCCCTTATAAGAGTATTTTGATAATTTTATACTTCTCCTAGTGCAATAAAAATTTTTAGTGTTTTAAAAATCATTAAATTTAATTTTAAACCACATTGATTTCAATTAAACTTTGAACTTTGAAGATTAACCTAAATTCTATTCATTTTGACAAGTTTTTGTATAATTTTGTCTTGAATTGACTTTGGGGTTTACTTGTTTTATTTATTCTTTATTTTTCATATATTCACATGAAAATGTATCATCCATATAAATCCCATGCAAAAGAATTTGACATTATTCATATGGGTCTAATTTTTCTTTGTTTATTATGTCTACACATCGATGCAATATACGAACTCTTAAAGAAACTTTTTTATGCGCTTCAAATGGGCTTTGTTTAACTATGTCAACATGTTTCGGACAAAATTTGGTGTCTAAATTGGTCACCATCCCTGCTATCTGTCTGCGATGTGGAATGAGGACCAAATGAGTAAGGACCATAAGGAAGGAGATTCTTACCAGATAAATCAGATTCCCCATTGTTTTCTTGGATAGTATCACTTTCTTTGGGTTGCTAGGAACAATTGGATTCATGGTCAGTCCTCGAGCTCTTGTCTAGGAAACCTATTCCTAATGCACTCTGTGGACACTTGGAATTCTGGCAAGAATATAGTGTATTCACGGTAACCTCCCGCTCAAAAACACATTTCCTTTTTTCTCCAGAGCTCGCAATCTTCTTACCATGCCCGCCTTCATCAGCTGGATGGCTATGCTCTGAATCGCCTTCTTGTCCTTCATCTTTTGCAGGTGATATTTTGAGACACTTCTCAGCAAGTTTTAAAAGGGCTTTTTCATGGTTAACCACTCTAGACCAAGTGGCTCTCTCTTTGGCTGTCATCTTATCATGCAAACACTTGGATTGCGTCTCCAGCCTTCTTATCCTATCCAAATTTGGGGACATATGCTTGATCACAGCAGTCAATACGCTTACCTTCCAAGCCTTTTTAAGGTCATGGGGCTTTCTGTAAGGAGGACGGCCATGTTCTTGGGCCATGCCTTGTTCACCCCACCAAAGTTCTTTCCCTGTTGACCACCAAGGAGGGGCTAAACCCCTCTCTAGTGGAAATCTCCTTTGTGGAGGCATGCAGTGTTGCATTAGAGCAGAAAGAAGTGATCCAAGAGTAGTATCCTGCAATTCCTGAAGGAGATACATACAAGAAACAGGTTCCAATTCACCTTGTTCAATAATAGCTGGCAAGAATTCAGCAACCGCAAGGGGAGCATTTTTGTCAAAACGGACCTTCTCTTTCCACCACTTGCGTAGACTATCAGATGAACCGGTAAGAGGCTTACCCCATAAACGAACCCTTGTGCTTTGCAAACTTCCATGATTTTCACCGTGTATTTGAGGATGGAATCTTGAGCTCTAGACATCTTCTTGCGCCGAGAAGCTTCTTGCTTGGCCTCTGACTGATCAGGCTCCTCATTCTCACGCTTCTCCTTCATCTTTTGCATTCGCAAACGATCCTTCCACATCCGCTTCTTGAGCTTGTCATAACTGATCTCCTGCTTTTGTTCTTCATCCTCCTCATCTGCCTCCACTTCATTACCAGGGCTTGGAGGTTCAATCTCACCAAAAAACTCTACCATATCTTAATTCCTCTTAAAATCTAAGTACCCTTTTCTCCCTTTTTTTCTTCACTTGTGAGTCAGTGACCAAATGCAGAGTTACATGTATATATTGGATATCAAATATGTGGAATTGCATGCAGGCTTGAAGATACGATCACCATTCGCTATATTTTTGGATTTCTTTTCTTTTTTTCCATTTCTTGAGAGGTAATCAAAGAAGGTGGCGTGTAGATGAGAGGAAATTAAGGAAATTGCTGCAAGTTTTACAAAGTTGATGCAACTTTAGGCTATAGGAACCATGCTACCAAATTTTTACATGCAAGCAGGACAAAAAACGTAATTCTATGACCGATTACTGTCTTTTGTTCTTGTCTTATCGGTTTACAAATATTAACCAGTTCGATTACAAGTGTCAAGTTTAAGTGACCTTCAGCTTTATTTGATGCCTTTTTTAGATATAGCAGACCAGGTTTCCTTTGACTGAGGGATTTGATGCATTTAATGATGATTAATGGTGATGACACAATATCCAGCGTAAGAGAAAAACCATATCCCAACCTGAAATCTCCGATATATAACGAGGAAAGGAAAATAGTTATGCTATTCTTTTTGTGGATATAAATTCCAATAGCACCAAAAGAAAGAGCTCTATAACAACGCCAAAAGACATTCATCATTCCATGGACATGCGGCTGTTCTCGATTATTTTTATTTTAGTATTTCTCATAGTAATTTACTTTTCTTGATTGCACCTAAGAAATGGAAATTGCAATCAAGATATGGAAATTGCTCACATAGCATTTTTACTGCTTTTTTTCTGGGATAAATGAGATCGTATTGATCCAAAGAAGCAGATAAGCCTGCTACAAATTGAACAAATTGCTGATATAGCAGCAAATCAATTAATAACAATAGTGGGAAAAACACCATAAACTAGTCATTTCTTCTTATAACCCCAAACTTTCGACAAAGCCTGCATCTAACAATCACTCCTTGATGCGGTTGAGAATTGCAGAAAATGGTACTTCCCCTCTTACCGTGAAGTCTGTTGTTTCTCTCCTTCCAAAGTAGTAAAGATGGGCACTCCCCATGCTAGCCTTCGCATGATTGTCATTTAAAGCTTTCCTCTTAAAGTCTGATCTCTTGCACCCAACTGAGTTCACTGAACCAATCCCCAACTTAATCCAAAAAACCTGCTTAGACACATGTATTCAAATGATGAAAGCAAGAATTTAAATAGTGGTTGCAGTCACGCTTTCGATCATGTCGAATTTATCGTGTTTTCAGATATAACAGAGATTATTGCGGTCACTACGGTCATCGCGATCGTAAAATTTTTTTTTGTACAATTTATTATAAAATGTAATAATTATAATTATAATTATAAAAACTCTTATTCAATCATTTTAAAAATAGTTTATGACACTCTATGTTTTTTATTTTCTAAAAAATTATTCACAATTTTATTTAGATTATAAAAAACATTCATATTTGGTTTATCCACAAAATTTTTCTTGGCCAAGTTCATATTCAATATTAATTCTAGACAAATCAAATATTAACAAAACATAATATGTTAAATACCAAGCATCTATATTTAATAAAATTACAAACTTAAAAATATAATAATTTCAAATTCCATCAACTACGATTATTGATATGTATTTCAAATTTTACCACATGGTAGAATGATGAGGAGGATCAAATTCACTATCTTCACTTTGAGAGCCAAATTGACTCTATTTCCATCCCTGAGGCCTTTGTTCTTGATACATTTGAGATGAATGATACATTTGAGGATGATACATTTGTGATGGGAGATACATTTGTGGTAAATGATACATTTGTGGAGGATACATTTGGAGTGGATACATTTGAAGTGGATAACCATATAGAGGAGGTCGAATATCAAGTTGTTCCGGTGGATAGTAATGTCATTAAGTACTAGCAGATGATTCACTATACTCAAAGTTACTAGAATTTGGTCTCCCACCTGAAGATGAAGAACCTCTAGAAATATCATAGTGGTGCTTTTGGCTTTTCCTTTTGATCGAGCTGTACGTGCACTTTGACCCTCCCTAGATTCAGCAAATGGATTTACTCTGTATTCTACCATATTAATGAAAAGTCCACCAGTAGCAGCAAGCCCAAATTCTCCTTCAAGTGAGCTGTAAGGTCGATTTGCATCCATATTATCACCAAAATTCACACCATCACCATCACCATCACATCACCATCATCATCATCATCTGGATTTAAATCACCATCATCATCACTCTGACTTGGTATTGGACTTGAACTTGAATGAGACACATTCCTTTCTTGAGATTGACGTGATTGTTCAATATTTATTTTATTATCAAAATTATCTACGGGCAACCAATTAGAGTTTTGATCATCTAACAGAAGATTTTCTTTCTCTTGCAACTATTTTGTTAGTGGATCATCATCTTCAAAAATATGATCAAAGTTAATAGGATTAAAACTATTATTTATTTCATCAATGCTCATTCTTTTCTAATGTCTCATCTCCAGCATCATGTTATAATAGGTATATATAAGTTTCTAAAGTCTTTCAAACTTCAATCTGTTTCTTGCTTTGATATGAATATAGCTAAATGTGCTCCAATTATGTTCACAATTTGATGCAGATGTTGTTTGACTAAGCACTTTGATTGCTAGTTTTTGTAATTCAGGAACACAAGTGTCATATATCATCCACCATTCAGCTATATAAAATTATTTAAATTAAATTTGAATATGTTATACAATTAAATAATATAAATAAATTATAATTATTTAATTTACTATTTACTTGGATTCACTTGCTTCCAAGCTCTTTATGCCTGTGGAGTACCAAATGTTTCATACTTGTCTCTAAATAATAACAGCTACATCGATTGAAAATACAATAATAAATGAATAAATAAAAAATAATTCAATTTTTAATACATAAAATAAATGTTAAAGTTATAAAATAGTATTAAATACTAACTTGATTAATCATTCTGATTTGAGTATCTATCAACGGTTCTAATCTTTCAATAATTGCTTTTTATACCTTCTAATGTTTCTTTAAATACATTTGCAAAATGTTTCACTCCAAATTAAAATTGTGGATTTAGATAGTAACCTAAACATAATTCATAACAATATTATATTAAAGTAATAAAAAATGAATATATAAGCAATTTAAGTATAAAAAATAAACATATTTTTTAAATACCATCTATATTCTTGATTTAGTTACTAGCTAAATGCAAGTCAAAGTGCTTGAAACTCTATCTATTTTCAATAATCTTTTCATATTCAGCAGAATAATGACAATTTTGCTGAATTACTTATTTAGCTCTATCCACATCCTCATAAATAAAGCCCATTGTTGATTTTTCATCCCATCTACAAGGCGCAACACTTTTACCAAAGGCTCATCAACTTTTATTATATCGCCTGCTTTTTTTCAAAAATCTTTTTCTAATATGATTTTTTTGGCTTCATAAGTAGGTCCTGATTTTTGTTGTCCCCATTTTGAATATTTAAATTCTTATATATTCATCAATAAATTTTTAGAGTAATATATTTTAAATTAATATTTTAAATAATGATATCATAAAAAGATGCTAGATTTAAATAGTTGTATTAATTACTAATTACTAAGTATTAACCTTTGAATTGAACATATCTCTCAAACCTTGCTTTTGCCTCATTATTTCTTCAATTTTAAGAAATGAGTGGCAAATCGGGCAAAAGTTGGACAAAGTATTTGCTTCCCTTGTGCATATTTCTTCATCAAATTAACAATCCAAATATGATTGTATATAAAAACAAGTCACTTTCTTTGCATCATCCAAAACCTTTACCATATTTTTTTCTTCCTAATATCTTCAAGGCACAAGTCCAAACAATGAGCTGAACATGCTGTCCAATACAAATATTTTCTCTTCTTCATTAGTCTTTTTCCTCTGGCCTTAAATGCTGTCTCGTTATTAGTGACTATTTGAACAATATATTTTTCTTCAATTTTTTTCACAACTTCATCTAATAATCTGCAATAAAAGTTTGTATCTCTACTACGAACACTTGAGATATCTACATATTTCCAAAAAATGGTCCCTTTACTATAGTAAATAAGGAAATTAATGATATGTATTTGATTCAAACTATTGGTCCAACCATCACACATCAAAGTGACACCCAATTCATTCCAATGAGCTTTTAATCCATTAACCCATTCATGAACTTATTGATATTTAAACTCTAAACACACATCTAAGACCTCATAAGGTGTTGAAAGTTTTACATGTTAGCCAACTTCCGCTGCCACAAAAATCAAATTATGCAACCATGGAGAATTTGCTAACTGAAAAAGAAGTCGATTATATATAAAAAATTTTGATACTGATTCATCCATCTTTCTTCTTAATGTCTTTAAAAATGAACCACTTACTTTTGGTTGCCTTAAACTCTTACTTTTAACCAATTCAGGTATTCCTTAATGAAAATTCAGACTTATTTGGAGTTGATTTCCTTGTTCTTTCTTCAAAATATTCAGCAACCGAGCCATAAGAGCTTCGTCCCTCTTCATATATGTTACTCCAACCACTAATTCTTTGTCTGAATTTTATTTTCTGTGCCTCTCATGTTGTGATTAGATACTATCTTGCACGACTTATCTGGTAGGATGTCTTCATTAATAAATCCTTCATAATCATCTTCCTCTCTTAACTGTGATAAAAATTCATTTTTTCTCCTTTTGTTTTTAGCTTTTTCTTATTTACTTTCTTGAAGAAGTTTCATTATACTTTCTCTTACTATTCCTATTAATAATATAGTTAAAAAAGGGAAAAATTAGTTGCATATGCTTATGTAATTTTATAATTTTTATTAAGAAATTAACAATAATATTTTCAAAGAAATTATAAAAACATAACATATCGATAACGTTGGGGTATGGTGCAACATTGTCAGTTTTATGAGCAACATGTTCTTTAAAATGTGTTATTCCTTCTTTTACAACTTTACCACAAAGTTTACATGAAACATTTCCTCTTGCATTTGATACAGGTGTTCCAAAATGCCAACCTATATCATCACTTGGCATGCCCTCTACTCCTTTACTCAAAAACTCTTC